TTCATAATAAACGACAAGCAAGAAGATTTTGGGCAAGATTTCATCATGATGGTCAGTCACCCTATACAATTGCTTTTCCTGCTCTTATTCGTACTCGTCGATCTATCGAAGAAAATCAATAATATCATTGTGAAACAAAAAATAAACTATAAACTTAATGTATTTGTTTATTCTATTTCTCGGTTAATCAACAAATAAAAAAATTAACAGATAATAATGAGAAATAATTTATTTTTCTACTTAAAATCAAAGTTATATCAGTACCTTTTTTTATAAAATTTATAAGAATCAGAAAAAAAACGATATTTGAGTAAGTAATATTCACAATTCGATATAGCACCCACTCAAATATTTGACATAATAAATATTTATATTCATTGTTATTGTTCGAAAATATTAATAAAAGAGGTGTGTACTCAGAATAGTATTGGCCTATTAATAAAACTAAATCATATGATATATTGAAGATTTGATAAATATGAATGATTATTTTTGATGAATAATATAAGAATAAATATATTTGATCCAGTTTATTTTGTAACCAAATACTCTATTTTATTAATCTTTATATTTTTGTCGTTGATGGCTTCTTTATTTTAATCTTTTGTTTTCGTTATCAACATGTATTTATAGTGCCCCACATAAATATCATTCACATTACATTGATAAGAAATAATAAGAAGAAAATATGTCTAGTATTAGTTTCTTGACTATGATAGCCTGTGTGGCTCTCATTTATGTAAGATTTAGTTCTGGTGCAGAATGTTGGTCTAAGAACGCTTGTATAGAAACCAGTTTATGTGCTGCTAAAGGTGGAATTTCACAGCCAAACCTTTGCAGTGGTGGTAATACTATTCGATGTTGCTCATGGTAGGAATATATTTATTATTGATCTTAAAGATGATAATATTGATTTTAGCGCCAATTGTATGGAGGCATCATTGTGTGTAAGTCGAGGTGGTGTCCCTAGTACTGGCATTTGCCCTGGTTCATCAAATCATCAATGTTGTAATATGGCATCTACTTCAGTACCTACTGGTGGTAAGACACCAGTTAACAGAATGCTCACAGATTTAGCTGATATTCTTCGTGGAGCTGGTCTCACTGTTATTGAATCGGAGGGTTGGAAAACACGTGGCCATGGCATTATGACATCCGTCAAGGGAATTCTTGTTCATCATACAGCTGGTCCTGCTACAGGTGATTTTCCTTCATTAAAAGTAGTTCGCGATGGTCGAACTGATCTTGCTGGTCCACTTTCACAGCTTGGATTAGGTCGTAGTGGAACATGGTATGTTATTGCCGCTGGTCGTTCTTATCATGCTGGTGCAACTATTGATGATTCAATATTTGGAAATGCAAATGCTATTGGAATCGAAGCAGAAGCAACTGGCAGTCCATCAACAAATACTGGACATGCATCTTGGCCCGAAGTACAATATCAAAGTTATATACGTGGTGTTAAAGCTCTTCAGGCAGCTTATGCTGTTCCAACTTCACGTGTATTAGGACACAAGGAGGCTGCAGTACCACTTGGACGTAAACCAGATCCTAACTTCTCCATGGATGAATTTCGTGCTGCTCTTGCAAAATAATTTTAATGAATACACTAAATCATTTTTTTTTCATTTATATTTGGTTATGGTGGTCTATATAAAAAATTTAATTAAACTTATGTAAATATACTATGATTTTCAATATTATCTTAAATAATGGCAAAATATATGAATATAATCTATATCTTTTTTTCTTGTTTAATTTCAAAACTAAGATTAATACAGATTCAGATAAGATATCTTTTTAAGGATTACTCGAGCGATGATATGAACAAGATACAATCATTTAAATATATAAATATAATTCTTTCAAGTAATTAGCAATCATCAATCGATAAATGCATACTAACATATTTAGTATCCGTCTGAATATTTTATTTCAGCTTGTATTGTATATCGAATAATATTATTCATTTTAGTCATTATTGAGAATTTGAAGTATTTGGTTTGTTTCACCTGTCATTTATTCGTAATTGATTTGTTAAAAAAAAATATCGGTTAATACCTATTTATTTTGCGTAGGCATTGTTATCGCTATGCAAATATGGCTGGTCCTCAATTTTACAGGAATAATCAGAGAAATGTAAAAAATGAAAAAGAAAATGATTTTCTTCCATAAATAAACGCATGTTGGTTTTTAATTCTTAAACTCTATTGCGAGAAATACGGAAAGCAAAGACAAATATTAGAAATTGTCATGCAATTCATATGAAAAAATAAAAATGTTTAAATATCTGAGTCAGTATATCTACTCATAAAAAGTATTATATGTGAAAAAAGAATAGAAATATTGTTTTTTTGTTGATGAAAATACATAGACGACACATATGATGAAACTACAACATCAAAAGGAAGAGAAAAATGAAGTATGATTGTTATATTTGCATACACGTCATTTAAATTTAACGTGGTTGCATTTGCATGACTTCACTCAGTCGATCGAGATTTTTTCCCTGACAGGATACATTTAAATAATAAAAGTAAGATACTCATTATAAACATATGTTATTAACGACAATATATATATACGGGTACATTTTTCCTCATGATTAAATCGTATTCTATACTAATATTACAGAGTGAGCTATAAATAGCAGTATAATCAGAAATTTTAATATCTCCACTTCAGTTTGATCGAATAGATTGATTTTTTTTATTGATAAAATTTTATTCGAAGTTTTTTTCTCATACGAATAATGTAAGTTAACTACATGAAAGAATGACAAGAAGAAAAGAAAGCACGCTTTACCTATGATACTATAGTGATGTACATAGAGAAACATTTCAAAATTGTTTTATTATTTATTTCAGCATCTAGACTAACTAGTTTTGCAATTTTTTCTATATACATCAATATACTATTATACATAAAGTCTGCTTCCATTTCTTCTTCTCATTCTCTCAGATTATCTACACAATGTGTTTTATATGATTTTTTTGTATTTAGCAACAGTTTAAATTTCTTTCATCAAGTTAACTTTCGAAGTGAATAGTAATCTTTACTTATATTATTCGGATGGAAAAAAAACTCTGTATAAAGTTCTACCAATAAACAAAAAATGTTACACTGTTATACTAATCTAGATAAATAGACATTATACAAATCATTTATTTGATTATTACTGAAATTCGAACATTTAAAATATCAATTGTGATCTTTGATAAAAATTATCTGTTATCTTTTAGTTATATATATATATATTACTTGAAATATAGTACTTCACTTGCTATCGATCATTTTAAACGAAAAAAAATAAAGATGATGTTAACGAATTTAGCTGATATTCTTCGTGAAGCTGGTCTTACTGTGGAAGAAACTGATGATTGGAAAACACGTGGTCATGGCAAAATGACTTCTGTTAAGAGTATTATTTGTCACCATACAGCTGGTCCTGGTACAGGTGATTATCCTTCATTGAAAATTGTTCGCGACGGTCGAAAAGATCTTGCTGGTCCACTTTCGCAACTTGGATTAGGTCGCAGTGGTAAATGGTATGTTATTGCAGCTGGTCTTTGTTATCATGCTGGTGTTGTTACTGATACTTTATTGTATTCAAATGCAAATGCTATTGGAATCGAAGCAGAAGGAACCGGTGTTCCATCGACTGATAGCGGACATACTCATTGGCCCGACGTACAATATGAAAGTTATTTGCGTGGTGTCAAAGCTCTTCAGAAAGCTTTTAATGTACCAACATCACATGTAAAGGGACATAAAGAGATTGCAGCACCAGCAGGTCGTAAGGCTGATCCTAATTTTTCAATGGATGAATTTCGTGCTGCTCTTGAGTAACATAGTATAGTATAACATTGCTTCTTCTTCTTTTGTATACAATAAAACTATACTTTGTTTCAAGCCAAAATTATTCCTATATTTTGAAATAAATCATCAATTTACTTTCAATATAGAATATTTAGATGCACAACTTAATAGACAATTTTGAAAATCTTGTATTATTATAAGAAGAGAATAGTTTTTGTCAAATATATAAATCTTTGATTATTTATTGTCAAAAGATTCATATTGTATTAGATTACATAAACATTTTATGTTTAGCATATCTTAATTACGAATTTTGAAAAAAAATATTTTTGAGGGTGGGTGGGTGTGGGTGTGGGTGTGGGTTTGGGTGTGGGTGTGGGTGTGGGTGTGTGATGCAAATAATACCCCCACCCACACCCCCACCCCCACCCACATCCACACCCACACCCAGCCTCTTGAGGGTGGGGTGGGTGTGGGTGTGGGTGTGGGTTTGAGTGTGTGTGTAGGTTTGTGTGTGGGTGGGTGTGGATGTGAGTGTGTATAAAAAACAAAGGACACACCCACACTCACCCACACCCACACCCACACCCACACCCACACCG